TGAAAAAAACTAAATTGCTGAATATCCCCCAATCCTGATAATCCATTCTGTTATTTCTATAAATATGAAGTACCAGTGAATAATTACAGTATGCTAAATTACAAAGGTACAGAGAATTATAGAACATTGCCTCTTCCTTCTAGTACTTTTTAAATGAACAAATGAAAGAGCTTCCACTGAATTACCTGAATTGACAGAATATATTTTGGGAAACAGCTCATATTTTGAAATTTTTACATGGTACCAAAAAATGATGATTGATCAGCTAGAACAAATAATTTAAGCACATTCATTTGTTTTGTTTTGCTTTTGTTTTTTGAGACAGGTTTTTCTCTGTGTAATTTTGGAAGATGTTCCAGAATGCACTCTGGAGACCAGGCTGGCCTCATACTCAGAGATCTGCCTGCCTATGTCTCCTGAGTTCTGGGACTAAAAGTGTGCACCACCACACCCTGACTCAATTAGCATGTTCTTAAAAGCCTTAATACTATGTCACCAAGGCATTCATTTCTGAAAAAAAGTCATCAGCATTCATGTCCAGTGTATCATATAGGTACTTGTCAGAGAAAAGTCATTACCTCAGTATGTTGTTATAATTTTTTCTAATAAGGTAAACTATAATTAATTTTATATTTATTCTAGTCTCTCAAATTGTCATATGCTTGTTTTCGTATCTGTTGATTTAAAGAGGGACAGTCATTGTGCCTTACAAGAAACTATTTTGTAAATATCTTTACCTACAGTCCCCAAATTCTTTTTTCTTTGTTTCAAGGATGAAAGCAATTGAAAGAGACATACAATAAAACATACAGTTTCAAGCTATTAACGGCTGAGAGTTCATTCTGGTGTAAACACGAATCAAGACAGAACAGATATGTTGTTTGAGAAAAATATCAACTTAGAAGTTCATGCCATCTGATTTGTCCTGTAAACTACAAAAGCCATCTTGAGATGGCTCCCATGCTTCTATTGTTTCCTTAAATGATAATGGTCAAGCAATGTTGGAAGTAAATATTCCTTACTTCCTGTATCTTTAGTGTACTAATAGTCACATTTATCTCACAGGAGAGCCGTCACAACTTCATTTCCTTTATCCAGAAGTCCTGTGCTGAAAATGTAGAAAGATAGTAGTTTTTAGAGAATTTCTTTAATACTTTACAATGGATGCAGTTCTAATATCTGACCACATGTTAATAATGTCTCATTACAATTATTTCTGCAGATAAACCTAATACTACTTCAGCAGCACCAACTTTCCTGAAGTCCGTTATTGTGAAGCCTCCTCCAGGTAGGAATAAAGACAAGACTACTATTCTTCTAGCAGTGCTTTGGATCTGGGTAATCCAAGAAGTAATCCAAGAAGATAGTGTAAGCCCTTCCCTGCTTCTTTTAATAATCTGGTAGTGTTCCGCAACATTATATTAGGAGCAAAGGGAAACAAAACTAGGAAAACATTTATAGCTAAATAGCAGAGAAATGTCTTCAGCAAAATCAAATGGAAATGGAAATCAGGAAGTTTGTATTTTATAAAACATACTAGTTTACTTGTAAACTACTTTCTTTTTTTATTGATGAAAGAACTGGTAGTAGTCCAGCAATCAAGTCCATATATTTTGATTTGTTTTTCTAAGACGTG